TTATATATGTACGTACATATACAGAAAAAAAAAGAAACTATAATAAACACATATATAAGGGTTTCCTTTTTTTCTGCATTTCTCATTTGTTTCATTCTAAATTGATTGCACTGAAGACTCGAGTAGGTTTCTATATAAACTTTGGGAATTTGCCATTCAAAGTAGCACACCGTTTCCAGGCACTGAATTGCTCTCTCAAGGCATCAGAACTGCCAAGTTTCAGACAGATTGGACAAAGGGGCTTCTTTTCAGAATCAATAAAAGAAGGGGAAGTGATATCCTCTACATTTCCTACTGCTTTGCGCTTCAGTTTGGACAGTTTTCATGTCTTGTCACTTCTAGCACATTATAAGAACACTCTCCCTGGACAATGTTCCTTGAATGCAACACTATATATTTGCAGTTTCAGCTTGCTAATCAATGCAGTGCAATGCCTCTTGCTGATTTCAAAACAATTTGTGTCAGTTTCTCCCTCCCAAGAGAAACAAAGGGAATAAATGAAACAACAACAACAACAAAATCACTAGTTTCTCCTATTCATTCCTATATTTACATTTGTGTTTTGTACAAATGGATTGGAAGTACACTGGGGTGTATCCTTCATTATTATTTCAAACATGCCACCATCCCACTCATTCATCTGTTCAAGTTGCCATGAGAGGATAAAAGCACTCAAGCTAAATATGTCGTGTGGTAGAATCTAAGTCAAGATAAAATGTGTTCATGGTTTTCCTCTTTTCCATAAATATTTCTAAGAGCCATTGTACACACACACACATATTGACTGTAGCACCGAGTGATAGCATGCATGTACGAATATCATATCAGAAGATTGCCCCAAGTCATGAGATAGGAACTTAAACAATGCTCTTCAGTTGTGACGGGGAGTTATGAAGTAATGACACAAGTTGTCAAAGTGGACCATTTTAAAAAACAAGATGGCAGAAAGAAAGAGGGAAAAAAAACCACAAAGGATGTACATGTATGCCAAAATCCATCCTATATTATTTTTATGGTAGAAGTCTGGGGACATAAAGTTTTCAAATGAGAACAGCAATACAGTAAGAGAGTCAAAGCCCTAAATCCAACATAACACCAGCAGAATGGAGCTACACACTAGGGCAATAATGGTATATTATACCAGGGCACAGCCCCATGGTTGGTTGTGCAAAGGTACTGAATACCACTCCAGTGTTAATGTTGAAAACATATGACTCCTAATACAGCAAGCCTTGGAGCTAAAGCACAGTGTACCTGTACCTGAAGGACACAAAATTAATTCTGAGTATGAGTGACAGCTGTTGCACAATGTCAGCCAATGCTGATTGGCCCAAATCACTAAGAAAAAATCCCACTGTCCTGTATACAGTTTCCTATTTAGGAACTGTTGTATATATTGCATACCGTCATATATGCAAAATAGCATTTCCCATTTTCCTTTCATAGTCATAATTTCCATGCAGTGTGTATTATCAATAATTTTTCACATGACAAGAGTTCAGTGCTCTTACTTGAAAAGAATGACCACAAGCGTGGGAACATAGTGTCATAAAAATAACCCAGCTGATCTGAAAATGACAGCGTTGGGCTACGTTGGTTCTATCATGATTCTTATCTTCTTCTGACACAAAATGGGAATGATTCTCAATGTGGCTTTTAACCTGACATTTCCTGTAAATATGGGTTTCAGATAATTAGTCTAAGTAGACATCAGAACATAATCCCATGTTCTCTTTCCCTTGGAAAGACCTCATTAAGTTTTCAGAACATCTGTTGCATGAATTGCATAGTCAATAGGCTGATATTATGGAAAAATGCTTACACATAATATATGCATTGTATGAGCACAGAAGAACAAGCTAACTAAATTGAGTACACTGAAATCCTAGAAGAAGATTTGAAATAATAAGGTGGAGTCAACAGTTGCCTAAAACCCTCCTCAAATGTTATTCCCAGGTAAAAGCTATGTTCAACACTGAGTACAAAACTCTTTGTAAAGGTAAAAGCTATGTTTGGATAACAGGAGCCTGGCTTGTTCAACACTGAGTACAAAACTCTTTGTATATTCAACTTAAGAACAAATGTCTGTCACCTATTTCTGTTCCACTGACTGTACACAGATACTTTGTGTGATTGTGGGCTATGGCCCGGATTGAAATGGAGCACCCACACCTCTTCAGCTGGATGCAAATAGACACCCCTTATGTCAGTGGAGACATCAAAGCATTAATACCGTAACCACATATCATATCAGGCTGTGACCAGTGGGCCAAAACACTCTCATGAATCCCTACCTTCTACATATATGAAGTGGATTCAAATCTCTCCCTTTTACCCTGCAAAACTTAACACTGAATATATGGCTTGTTTTGTTCCCTGTCAATTCAGAAAGGAACATAATACTAAAAATCCATCTTCTGACTGGAAGGATATTTCTACGGAAACAGGACAACTGAGAGAATAGATACACAACTGGTTTTCCTCTTCTGCTTTTTTTCTTCTTGTAACTATTATATGAAGAGCTATTTTTAAGTACCATTATGAACCTTTAGGTACTATTAACATTCCATATGCATTCAAAGGTGTAAACCAGTTTCCAAAATCTAACTGCTAAGAAAGGTTGAGGGTAGTAGGAAATGAGGAAGACTCATTGATTCAATAAAACATGATTGATTAAACAAAGGAAACTGCAGTCTTTAATGTGTAGGTTTTAAGCCAGTCTAATGATAGGACTTTTTGGAGATTGTTGATGCAGAAGGTCTTCATACATAGAAAGGGGTTTGACAACACACAGCAATATAAGAAACCCAGTCTAGACGTGGTAAAGGAAAAAAGTCCTTCTTTGACAGGCTATGCTTGACTGACTCCCAACGTTTGCTAGCCATTGTTGCTCTGCTTGTTGTTGGTGATGTCATCACTGCCACCAATTACTTTATGTGAATTGTGTGTTTTTAAGCACCAATCCTGGTTGTTAGGAGGAGTTGATGCTTCTGCAGAGAGGGAAACAATCACATGAAAACAATGAGAAGGGTGTATGAGGAAGGAGAAGAAGCCACAGGAAAGGGAAGACAAATGAGGTGTAAAGGCATTTAGGAAGGCTAAAGGGGGAAAGTTACTGCAAGGGCAGAGGACAACTCGGTAGCAGGCAGTGACTGACAACCTGCTGTCTGAGGCAATTGCCTCACCTGGCCCTTCATCACCACCACCACCATCTCACTCACACTCACACACACACACACATACTTGTTTGGAGAGGTATTATACACGAGCCTAAGAAACGTTCCATGACAACTTGCACCATGGAAATTGTTTACACATAATCATATCATTAAATTCACTATCGCACAGGGCTCAAAGAGGAATAAACAGCTACTACTCTCATATTATGTCACCGGCATTTCAAGGCATTAATGTAATATAATAATCTTAAAAGCTCTATAATAGCCAAGAATCTTGGGGTGAAAAAATCCCCCTCAAATGTCCAGAATTCATTTTCCAACAGAATCCAGAAGTGAAAGACCAACTTGGGTAAGTTTATCCACAGTGTACAACATGTTAAAAGATAAGGGGTTTAGTTTTTAATAGCATGGTCTATAATAAAATCTAGTGAAATGTAAAGTGAAGTGAGGAATGATTGGAAAAAAAATCATCTTTATAATGTTATCCATCCAGTAGAATTACTGTAAATTGCTAAAAAAATTCTTCCATGGAAAAAGAAACATAAGCATGTTACAAAGTCTGACATTTAAACACTTTTAAAGTCCTACTCGCAGTTTAATTTTCTTATATAGATCAAAAGGACAAAATACAGTTTGGCACGATCCTACACCTGTTTTCAATTACACTGATATAGTAGCTTGAGGCTAGAAGACACATCTAGTTTGATTTGGGTTAATACCAATGGCAAAATACACACCAGCCCATTCACACCTATTATTCACCGATCAACCAACGCAAACAAAATTATGCTCCCTTTCTCTTCACCGGTTCTCCTATCTCATTTCATTACCATCATGTTTTGGGGTCATAAAAAGTTAAGAAACTGAAGAGGGAAAAAATATCTCACAGATACAAGTACTGCCGAACCTCTGAAGCAGAAATCAGCTCGGTTGAACTCAGACTTACATGTCACAGTTGTTGGCCCTCGACCAAACTTCTCCGCTCTGTCACTATCTGGTGGCATTGTGCTCAGGGCTGCCTCTGACAGATTCAGTTTACATTTTGCAGGGCACTGAGAACAGAATCCATACCTCAGAAGGTGGCTTGAGTTCGTCTTCCCTTCTCCAGTGCCTGCCTCCGATCCTTCTTCCATGCTGCTCTCTCAATCCGGAAAAAAATTCCCATCTTCCCTTTCTCAGGTAACACCCACCTTTTCCAATTCTGATTCTCTCTGCACAGCACATTTCTTTTTCTTTTTCTTTTTCTTTTTTTTTTGTGAAGCCTTTCCACAACCCTATTATAGACTTATGTCACCAAAATTGCCAGTACTACCTCACTGGCTCTTATGCCAATTACTGTTCCCTCATTTTGTCTCTCTTCCATGCATGGTGTTTTGATAGTAAAGCCACAGGCAAAAGAATGTGACACCTCTATGCTTTATACAGTGTCAAGCATAATGGTAGTGCAACAAAGCATTTGTTAAGAATACAGTACTAGTAACACATTATACAACTATTTGATAAGAATACAAGTAACTGTATGTTTATATAAAATATACTTATATTTTCCTTTAAAAATTGGAATTGTGCATTTCAGGTTGAAAGTTGGTTTTGGAACAGGACAGTTTGCCTTTTTTTTCTATTCCCCCCTCCCCCCAATTTTCTGGTTCCTTACCTTGAGCTCCTTGCAACATTTTATCATAAAAACATACCTACCTCCTATCCCCAAAGTGCATCAACACTAAATACATCTATGTATACCACTCAGACATACTTTAAAGAGTATAGACAGCATTTAAAAGAAAGGACAGGGAGGAAAGAAGGAAGAAAGTCATGTAATACCTTTACTTTTACCTATGAATTTGATGAAATGGTTCCATGAAGAAAGCATTGCCAGACAAGAGAGAGAAGAAAGAAGAGAAACAACAGTAAGAATCATGTGTGTGTAAATGTGAATGTCGACACAATCCAAAAGTGAAAAAGGACAAAGGATGAAACACATGTTTGAAGACAAAGGGACATGTCAACTCATGTCGCATTTCAGAATTGTTGCTTCCCAAATTTCATGTCCATGCAAAATAATAGTAATAAAAAAAAACACACACAAAAAGATCCATGCTTCATTTTCAAACGAGTGAGACAGAAGTGACATGGACACTGACCGAGAAGGAGTGGCTTGGATGGCATGATGGGGGAACACCACTAGTTTCACCACGTTGCAAAATGTTTTCTCAGCATTCCAGAAGCCAGGAGCAAGTGCTTTATGCATTTTCCAAATAGCCATGCATTAAGCAGGAGTTGTTGGTTTTTTTCCCTTAAGTACAAATTCTTCTTTTGCAATCTATCTGGGGAGTACATTTTTGTGTGGTTCGTTATTGTGTTTAAAACACAGCAGTTTTCAAATTGAATGCCTTGAGTGCTTTTTAAAATTATTTTTGTTTTCTTCTTTTCTTTGCTTTTCAACTATTATTGGATTGCAAGTCAGGCAGAGGAGACAATTGAAAAAAAGGAGAACGGAAGTTTTGGGGAGCAATTTAAAAAAATAACATAGCAGGGGATAAATAGATAGAGCTATTTTTATTATAGGTAGATAGATAGATATATACACACACACGACAACAACAAAAGAAAGAAGGATATGACTAATATCATGTGCTCATTTGCAGCCCAAGACAGCTCACAAGCAATTGGCCATCATCTGCTGTGATGATTTTCGAAGCAGCTACAGAAAAAGAAGAAAGAAAGAAAGAAAGAAAACAAAAGGGGAAAAAAATACAATGAAAGCAGAGTGGAAAAGGAGCAGAACCCATACCTTGGTCGCCCATCATCAAGTGCGCCAGACCTTAAAGGGAAAACAGAGCACAGTCAGCAATGAACACGGGTGCACGGGAAGGTGGTATTGTCACAGAGACAAATTTTTTTCTTTTTTTCTTTTGCAACAGGCATCTGTCTCCTGTGAGATGCTTCCATTACAGTGGAAAAATTAATACAGCATTTTTCAACCACAGGTTGGAATGCTTCTGGAGGTGGGTTGGGGACAAAAGATTTGCTATTCTAACATAGAATAATGCTGCACTGTATGCTTGTTTTTTTTTTGTAGTCATCAAAGTTGGGCTGAAGACAAAAAGAACAAGGAAATGATCGCAAAGACAACAAATCCCCAGAATTTTGATCTCAGTCTTCTAACCACTTTAAACATATTGTTTCCTTGTGAGGACACCTTGTCCTTAGACTCCAAAATAGTTTTGTTTTGGGTTTTTTTGTTTTTTGTTTGTTTTTGGAATCCCCTCCCCCTGTTCCACTTTCAACAATAATATTGTTAACCTGAAGTATGGGCTGGGTCTGATCTTTTTCCCCTCGTTGAAAATGAGCATTTCAAACAATTAAATAAAATAATTCCTTCGTCACATTGAAATGATAATGCAAGGTATGTCTCCTTGTTTGTGTGAAATGTTCAAACAGAATAAAGTCAGTTTCTGAGCCATCAAATTATTCAGTGTCCAGTGGAGAGAAGCATATAGCAACATTAATTTTTACAGGGAGAGGGGAATACCCATGACAACAAGTGCTTCCTCCAGTTTGAAATGGATGGCCCGCTTAAGTACACTAAGGCTGAGCCTTTTCTAATTAACTATTCTTTTTTTTTTATGCTGCAGAGGCTGGCAATTGAAACAATTCTATTTAAAACAAGTTCTACACCATTGAAAAATAATTAGGCAAATAACAGAAAAATAATTGATGCACTTTCCTCGGAAATAAACTTGAGATATTGCTTCTCGTGTTTGCTTTCAGATAATTTACATTTGACCCTGTAAATGAACACTTGCAGTAGTTAAGTTTAAGGGAAGAAGTTGTATATCCCAGAGAGTTCATTTAGATATAAATTTAGATATTTATATATTTTTGCTTTCCCTTGGGAGGGGGGGAAATCATTTTACAAGCCCCATGTATTTTTTTTTCATCATTCACACAAAGAAGGTATGCAATAGAATATGCTAGTTTTCAGTGGAAAATAATACTCTTAAATTATATCCTGAGGTTTCTCATTCACATAGAAAATTAGGCATAAACATGAGACGTGTAACAAGCAATCGTATGGGATCTTTAAAAAGAAAACAAAACAGAAAGTCCACAATCTTAGAACGTCACATCATCAATCATGTGAAGAAATATGGTTTAATGCCATATAGCATATTTTCATTGGAAAACGTTTACCTTCTCAACTGAAGGTAATGCAGTACTAAGCATTTCAATATATAAATAATCTAATTTTAGCCATTTTACAGTAAGCCATGCATTTTTAAAACACTCATCCTCCACTGTTTAATTAGTGATCAGTTCAACATTTGCACCAGTATTTAATGAAGATGAGACTGATGACAGAAGTTGCAGATAGCCTGTAATTAGAGCTGAAAGCATGGCACTGTTGGAGAGAAGTGACCGAGGCACGTGCATTTTTTACACACAGCACTGTTGGAGAGATGTGACCGAGGCACGTGCATTTTTTACACACATGCGCACACAGAGAGAGACACAGAGCTGACTTGAAAAATGGTGCTTCCCTTTAGTGCTTCTCAGTTTTTTTAAAAAACTGGATTTTTGTGTGTGTCACGGGCAGAGGCAGAAATTCTATCTTGCAACCGTAAGAATGATTGCCTCTGGAGAATACCTTGCACCATAATTCCTAATAGTGTGCAGATTCAAGCAACTGGCTCATTTTGCCAATCACAATACTATTTACAACCTCTTTGCACATACATGTGTAGGATACATGCACTACTACAGCCAACATTTCTTTCTTATTAAATACCTTTAGGCTCAGAATTGCATCATGACATATCCTCTGCACATTGTGAACCTGAAGTAGAACTACTGCATCTGATCAGTGTGCAGATGATGATGTCAAATGGTACCTCAATAGCACTGTATATGCTTTGGATGAAGAAGAGAGCTGGTTCTGTACTTTGCATCTCCAGGCAGGAAAACAGAAATATCCTGTTTGAATTCTGGAGTCCCTGACCTTTGAGAGTTGACAACACTCAGCTGTACGGGTACACTGAGACAGTTTCATACTGTCCCTGTGTACTAAAGTTATATTGTGACCTCCTATCCAGAGACTTTAATTCTCATTCTCTCATTTATGTAGTCTCAGAACAGTGACATGTAAAAAGAATTTACTGGATCGCTGTCTATGGGTCAGTGACAAATTGTACCTGAAGCTGAATGCTACTCCTAAAATCATACACATAAAGGAGATCATGTAAATAAGTTCTAAGAGATGCGTGTGTGTGTGCGTGCACACACACACACACACACACACACACACACACACAAAGTGTATATATATATGTGCGTGTATATATACATGCTCTTTGTGTGTGTATACTGTATATATATAGTATATATATATAGTTTGTATACAGTATGTGTGTATGTGTGTATATATATGTATG